ATAATGTAATCTTGAAACTGAATACAGTTTCCTATATTTTATCGCTGAATTTAAAACAGGGTAAGTTACTGTAGTTTGATTAGGCTAATTTTACGAATCATTTAAGCTATTCCCTATTTATATATCCCCAAAAATTATCATACGAAGAAAAATAAAACAAAGTAAATTATGATTTTTGAAAGAAATAGGAAGATATTTGAAATATAATATTTTACATTGGAAAAATAATAGTACAAGGTTTAGTGCTGCGTAGGACCGATTTAGATTAGTGGCATAAACCTCTGAATAAATAGTTTACCTTTTGCTAAACATCTATAAGACGAATTTCAAGGGGCAGGAAAAATTCGTATCATCGAGGTATTCTTAGTAAATAGGGTGGTTTCATCTAAGTTTAATACTGCCGTTAATCGTCTTATAAAGGTTTGACTGAAGTGAGTGAGGAAGGAACGAGATAAGTTGGGGTTTCATGTTGAGAGAAGCTTCTGTTTGTTTTGGAAAATAAGTACTATGGAGGTTAAGATAATGAGAAATTCGTCTCATAGAGGTCGCATTCGTCTTATAGAGTGCTTAGAATATTCGTTGTATAGAGGTTAATCAGTCCTATCCCATGCCACAAACAAATTCGTCTTATGGAGGTTCTTAACCGAATTACTACGTTGTGTGGAGGTGTTTATAGCATTAATCTCGAAGGTTTCAAGGCGATTAAAAGATTCGTCTTATCGAAGAATTCGTTTTACCGAGGTTCGTACTAACGAGGTTCGAGTTACATTCATCCTTCACTCATACTTGCGTAAACCTAGGTAGCGACCCCATCTCAACTGGCAATTATATAATAAAATAGTTCAAGAAGAATCATAATAGCGTAGTCGTGGACAAAGAGATTTATAACTTTTTATCAGTGAATCTGAACGAATCATTTTGATTGTAAACAAATCCTTCTTTGTTCAAAATCGAGATACTGTACAAAATATTACCAAAAGCCAAACGTACAGTATTCTGCAATTTCAATGTTTCCGGAACCAATAAAATAATTCTTTGAACACCAAAGCTTTGTTTGGAGGACTCCCTTTTAAACGAACGTTCACATTTGATTTCCAAACGTAGTAAAAATGATGAACACCTTTTCGTGAGTATCGTGATTTATTTATTTTTCCCCAAAGATAAGCTTATAAAGACATGTATGTTTTGTAGGTTTGAGATACACGAATATCGAAAAAAATACATAGAGAATATGAATTAATATTACGACGAATAAGCTATAAGCTATAGTAATACGAAGCTACGCTTATAAGCTGTTAGGAACAATAGTTTATGATGATATTAGTAATTCACAGCAACCTTTATCAGAACCAAAAAATCCTGACTTTTAAAAAACAAAATCACTTAAAATTTTTATAGTCAATTCATTTGGCTTCTATTTAATTTAGTACTTAAGGTTGATGGTGTCAATTTATGTTCAATTTATTGTAAACAAATTATTATTCATTTCAGTTCCATATAAATGTGTCTCATAATTATTTTTAATTCAATATTAATATATATCATCACAATCAGTAAGTTTAAGCTCAACGTTCGCTGCATAGAAGAGTTCTTAGCACTTAAGAACTGAATGAACGTTATAACTATTCAATAAACCGATATAATAATGAGGCAAACAATTGACCACAATAACAAACATTGTTTACAGAGTCAACACATATTTGGCAAAGCAAGAGTGTCGAGTCCAAATTGAAAAGCTAGGCCTGGTGACATGTGGATATGATGAACAAAGTTGTGACATGAAACTGTTAATAACTGCCACGTATCGCACCGTTTCTCACTCCCTACTCAGTCCCGCCCTCTACAGTCTACACACAGTTACTGCCTGCTGCGATCAGTACTTGTTCTTATGTCCCACGTTTACATGGTAGGACGCTGGCTCTAGCCTGGAAATGGTTTACATTTTACCTCAGGCTAGGCGTAGAGCGTTGTGACTTTATTACTGGGATTAACTCAATTGGCGATTGGATGGTTTAAGCCCGAGATCTTGGGACCCGACCGAAATCTCGTGTAACTCGGGTTACTAGGTTGTTACAGCGCATTCCGTATAAAGAATCAAATTAAGTACCGGGGGACCGATGCATAGCTTGGTATAGTTTATTTATATTGTTAAAGCAATATAAAGGGAAGACTTCAGCATGAGCATACTATCTGAAATATTCTCATTTATTGGTTTAGCTGAAGGCAGACGAGTCCGATTCAAGTGTATATTGCTTACTTTAAATATTATTGCATTACAATTAACTTTATTACAACTGAATACAGCTGTCTAAATTATGTAAACTATACAAAAACTGCATACATATGGTAAAATCTACCCTTAAAAATAAGATGAAACATTAAGTTGACGCAATTGCATTCAAACGTCACCAACACGAAACACTCATCAACACTTGCTCTATTTTCCTTCATATCGGGTTATCTTCCGTGTAATCTTTGCTCAATACGAATTTTCCTGAGGTATTGGCTTTAGTCAATCACGTTTTTAAGGCTATAAGTCCTAAATTCCAAAATTTAATCAAAATCCTTCCTCTGGATTTCGAGATATATATTACAGACAGACAAACAGACTTTGCTAGTATTAACGTATAAGATAGGATAGGTACAAGTACAGTTTCTTGAAGATAAACATTGTTGGATTATGTTCAATATTATATCCAAACAACAATTATAATTAAAAGGCACTATTCGTTACACCACTACATGCCAGCATGACACCACCACAAGGGTGCACCCCCATAACATTACAGACTGTATGTATTCATGACTGCCTACGACCCTCCTTCCTATATACAACTTTAATGCTTGGTTTACACCCTGGTAACCTGCATTAGCCACATCACAGCCTAATGTCTTTCTTGAAGAGAACGCTCTGTCAACTCTGCTTAGGAAAGTTGGGACACAATAGAAAAGATTCAGCTGTATTTATTAGAAGCGATTTCTAAATGACTGAGTGTTTTGTTACAGGTTTATAGGTTTATAATACAGGTTCTGGCTGCTACGACAGGCAAAACACCAAAAGACACTGTTTTAGTTCAATTTAATCCCACTAAGTCATCTTCAAGATTTTTTTCCACTTTTTTACCCGCCCACAATTACAATGTTTATACGTGAAACCATGATATAAATCCAAAACCGTGACGCCAGAATTATGTGAATTTATGTTTAAGTTTTAAAGCCAACGACAGGGTACAAAAATTACCTGACTTCTCATGATTAAACATCTTCAGGGATGATTTCATTGTCACATAGAAATAGAATGTTCAATAACAATGATTTAGGCATTGTGAATGTAATATCACCACTGAATTTTATGCACACGATCTTGATTATGTTACTGTTAGTTTGTACTTTAAATCACCGATGAAAAACGTACCACTGGTGGGAATATTTTAATTCTTGTGACCTGTGGCCCGCACACCCCATATAATTGAAACGTAAGGATAATAATTTATGGTCAAGGATGAAACGTGAACTAGAGGAATAAAAAGTAAAAAATCTTCTCAAGTAAAAACTTACAATTCAAAACTAGACAAATAATTACCATACGTACCAGTGTTCAGTGTGTCGGATACTCAGTGTTAAACAAGATTCTCGCAACAGAAACTCTGCATCATCTCTGTTAGCTTAACTAATATTTGATCAGTTAATCTGGCCTTGTAACATAACTTTCCCAGGGTAACTGTACGGCAGCGATGTTATTACGAATAATCGCCAGTGTTAGACACGATATTCTCCGTGGTAGCGTTTTACAACTTTAAGTTTAGTTAAACTTTGTACATTAAAGCTGTGAGACGGGTTTGACTAGGTTCTAGCACATGTGTATTCGAATTACTTCAGGCTAGGCCTATAGGTTTCGGCATTGAAAGCTGGATAAAATACATTTGTGGTTGGCAGGATTTAACCCCGGGACCTAAGGGACCGAAGTCCCACGCTCTAACACTAGACCAGCTCACTCGCCTTTATTCGTGTGGTGTTGGATGTAAAATTACTCCTTAGTGTTTCAAATATATTTTTAATTGGCGGATTTCAACTTATTTTCAAAACCAAATACATGATTAGATAATATCATAGTGTTTTTGTGTGTCATAGTGTTAGTTATAGTGGGTGTATAAACCGCATTTATTTTAAGAGCTATCCATCTTAAGTATTCAGAAGATTCTCCTCATATCACTTATATTCTAGATGACATCATTTAAACGTATTAAGTTAATTAAAAGTTAACTTGCAGGTTGCATTAAATAGATCTTGGTATTATTTTTTTATGTTTACAAAAGAGGAAATGCTACACTCGTTGAAATGCTCAGCAAGAGTTTGGACAAGGATATTGAACCAAATTTGGGCTTATAACCGGGAAACTCGCCAAAAGGAGTGTCTGGCTAGCACGTGTTCGTTACAAACATCAGCCTAGTGAACGTAGAACACACAGTAGAGCCTCTATACAGTACTTGCATTACTACTACACAATACCTGTAGTATGGGTAAACACTTAGTTGGCGGGTTAGGTTTTATCGTTCCATACACTTAACACTGCAGAAATGATCATTACTGCTACATATTATTGTCTGGTACATATTATTGTCTGCTACATATTATTGTCTGGTACATATTATTGTCTGCTACATATTATTGTCTGGTACATATTATTGTCTGGTACATATTATTGTCTGGTACATATTATTGTCTGGTACATATTATTGTCTGCTACATATTATTGTCTGGTACATATTATTGTCTGCTACATATTATTGTCTGGTACATATTACTGACTGTTTAAGGTGTAAATGAACCACATGTAATAGATCATGAACATGTTCATTCCATTTGTGACATGAGTTTGGCTCGATGCAGTAGACCATTATTTCAAGATGGTTTACGTATAATATAAGACAATAATGAAAAATCCTTAGCAAAGCGAGTGCAGGCAATAAGATTTTGACAAATTAAGTGGAACAACTAACCTGTTCGTGACGAAATTATCGAGGCACCTCTTCAACACCTGAAAATAAAATCAAATATTAATTCAGCAATCTTAAATAATTTAATATTAAGATAACGTATTACTCCTCCAACACAAGAATGGATCCAAATTTGTATAAATGTCGTTAAAGGTAATTTGTTTATGTTATTCTATTGAAACATTAAAGGTACACGTAACACAAACACGTTTTGAAAACTATGCAATATTTTGTTTAACAATTCGGATTATTTTCATCAGCAAAATCAGCGGACAAATTTAAAAAAGGGAATAGTGTCCAGCCGATGTCATCCCCATTAAAATTCAAATTTATCTAAATGTAAGGGGAAATGCCAATTGTATTGTGGCAAAACATACGATGTGACACATTACCAAAAAACATTTTTATAAGAATTAAAAAATATTTTTATACGGGACTATTTTCTTCTAAAAAATAATGGACGAATATTGAAGTGAGTAAATTTACAGTTGATTCCCCCGACTCCTGCTGATTCTTATTTTTCCTATACACATAACATTATTTACTCTAACCACACAAATAATGTATTGTAACCCACCGCTGCAGTAAGACGATAAAAGGTGTCAATGACTTAAACTTCTCTAGAACGTAAGTACTTTGTGTAAAAGATCGATGTAATATAATGTTCGGCAGCGAGGTACCCACGTTGTACGAGGGACGAGCTGATTCAGCACCATTCTTCATCTGACAAGCGTCAATTTACAATCCGAACCTTCCATCTGCGATAGAACATAAAAGACCTTCTTGGGGGAAATGGGTTGGTTATTGTAATGAGTATTGGACAGTGTAAAAATCCTATACTCTAGTACGAGCTATGTCTGTTGGTGGGGGTTTTTAAGTTTATCTCAAAATCCAGCGAAAGGTTTGCCTACCATTTTTAATCGAGACTTGTATGCCTAAACACTTAATTGATGAAAGCCACTACGTGAGGAAAACTAATATTTCGATAGAGAACTCATTTAAATAATAAAAAATAATAATATTGCGTTGCGAAGAAGCCACGTTGGTTTTACAAAATAACAAGGACAAAAATACAGTATACTAGCAAACTACAAAAAAAATTTACAAAGGGAAAACATTAAGATATGACTATTGAACAAGGATTGCGCAGAATATTTTACTCGAAATCGGAAAAACAGTTTTGATCAATTACTGATTATTTTACTTGGATCTCCTCCACCAAAACGTGGCCCCCAAATTACTAAGAAACATTTGAGCAAACCTCTGTTATATAGTTATCGGCAGGATTCGAACCCGGGACCTCTGGGATTTAAAGTCACGTGCTCTACTAGACCAGATCAGTCCTGAAGGTAGGCACTATCAGAGGATGAAGACATAAAAGATAAAGGGACATTAGAAGTGCCTGTGCATTGATAACGAGAGGAAGGACAGTCAACGTCCCAGTCTTTGTCCACCGTTGAGATGCTTCGTGTTGGTTTAGGTCTCCACAGAGACTTGCTATTAACCTCGCCTTTGATGGTTCTGTTCAAAAGCAGGACAAACGTGTTGGAGTTGAGTTAACCGATAAAAAAAACCCACTCAATGAGGAAAGTTGATTTACAGAGTGAAAAAAGGAAATACATTTAGCACTTTTTTATTGGGTTTGAGAGACCGGTGGCCTGAAGAATCACTTTAAGCTTTAGTGGTGAAATATACTTAATTGGAGGGTTTCGATCACAACTAAAGTTTTAAGCGTCTTAAATATTTGTACCCAATGATTGATTCATATCTAAAGTTAGTATACCATTTTCTTAAATTTCATACTTCATGATGGTAGCCACCGGGTTACAGAAAACTGTTTAAACTGTGTAAATAATAATACTTGATGTGGTCCAACATTCCAAAATTGAACTAGTTCCACCATGAAGGTATATTCTTGAGGACGGTTTGCCACACAATTTTCCTCGATCTAACCCGGCAGCCCGGGCTAACACAACAATTTATACATAATTGACATTGCAATCGACGACCATTTTGTGTTCAAAGTTAACGCCACAGTATCATACAATTATTAATCTGGACATAGTAGTTTAGTAAATATAACTATCTTTTTAATACATTACAAATTCAAACGCTAACTCCAAAAACTGTACTCTCTCGCTTGAGAACACACACGAACAATTTCAATAAAGGCAGTAAGAACAGTTAAAACCCCACTTTATACAACTTGATTGTCTCCTTCCTCGCTTTCATCGCCAAAACTAAGATAAAAGCAAAGTTGGGCACCGAATATTGTTGTGTGAGTATATTAACTAACCCTGTGTCTAACTTTCTACACACACTATAAAGTTGAACAGTGATCTCCTATTCCCCCGAGGTGGCTGTAAATTTGATAGGCCTACTATCCTATATATATATCGTATATAAATATTTCCAACAGATAAGAATAGCTGAGTATCCAACGATCGAAAGGGTGACGTGATACCTGTGGACAAGAGCTAAAAACATAATATATTGCTTTTTTTTAACGTTCAAAAGCTGGTTAAATGAAACAAAAAGACTATTATATAGTGAACACCTTCTTTCCACGGTTCAACATTATAGTTGGACTCACAACATGTTTAGCCTATTCAAGCAATGTCAAGTCCTTGCAAGAATGTTTCACCCGATTAAGATTCGCCAACGCCATACAAACAAATACACACATAGGACATACACCAACAAAAAACATTTACACACGTGAAAGTAGGCCTACTATTAACAGTTCGCAGTACTGACGGGGTAACAAAATACTCATATTGCATAAATATTCAAACATATATTACAGCAAAACTATAATCCAGAAATGTTTAAATCGCTGAAGAAGTTCACAAACAGACTACATAATCCCACTTTATAACGAACGCGGCTCGGATTTAACATGAAATAAAAGATGGAAAGAACAGAGTTGGTTAAACCAAATTACATTTCCATTTTAAAATACCGACTTGTCAATCTCAGCGTGGCTTTTATTGACGTTGCGTTTGTGGATCAAATAAACGGACGAGTATCTTTTACTTGTGGCATCAATCTTGTTCGTAAATTACAAATATCGCCTCATCAAAACTTAAAGATAATATCAATTGTTATAAGTATTATGAAAGATACACTTTTAAAATGTAGTTTGAAGATGAATTGACTTAACAACAGTGTGATGAAGGTTTATTACAGCTATCACTTTTGGAATTTAATATAAATATAGTTTTTTGTAGGCTATGAAAGAAAGAAGTAACATATTGTACAGATTAGCTGCAAATCATTGCAATACAAATATGCAGGTAAACAAATTGAATTGAGATAATAAAAATGAAAGTGAACAACATTCAGGGGTTTGGAATTAGAACGTGGCCAAGAACAATCAATTACAACAATTACAGGTAAAAATTCTGTTAAGTTACAGCAATATTTTTACAAGCAAATATCACCCATAAAAATAAATATAGAAAGGGCATATTTTTAGTGCCAACTCGTGCACGATTTCTTAGTCTCTTAACCCAATGGCTGCATATGAGTTTTTGATTGACTTTGTTAAGGAAAATATGGTATAGCAACCTTCTATCTTTTAACTGTGTTGAGCGACAAATAAAAAACAATTTATTCAATGAATCCTGGCACTGTTTTATAATGCGAGTGCCACAAAAACGGCTAACCTGTATAGATCCTCTCATTTTCTGTAGAAAACAGTACAAACAGCTGTCGATGACGTCATTTCATGTCCCTGGGAATATAGACAGCTGATCCATTGATGTAAGAGGGGCATCGGTTAATGAGAGAGACAAGGAGAGTAAATAAGTCTGTCTTTGTCGGATCTCTTGTTAGTTTAGGACATTTCTCTTGGGACAATACCACTGTCAATAATACAGCCATTACCATTGTGTTCTTCGAACAGTTTGATTATGTGGATAAAGAAATATCGAGGAGCATTACTATTTTGGCTACGTAATTTGAATTCAGTTATTTATTTTTTGTACAGAAAAAACAGGATGGAAGCAATTGGGTTAATCTATAAATGGCCAATTAGCACGTTGGTTTTCACAATAAGGGTAGATTAGGTCTCGATGGATTTGCCCTAATTTGCATTCCAATGTAAACCTTGGGAGATCTAAACATTTCTTTGACTAATTTTAACAAAGTCTGTTATAAAACTATGGCAATTTCGGACTCAATATTTTATTCAAAATTTATAGAGAAATGAACGACAGTCGGATGCGTAATTTAACTGCTTAAAGTGGTTAGGTTTTTTTTTTTTTTAACTGGGCTCAATCAATATTATGAAGATCAGTTATCTAGTAATGGTGAATTCAGTACATTGTTACGGGATTCATTCAAAAAAGTGTTTTGGATAATTAAACATACTGTATTCGATTCAAAATTTATTTCGCATTACCCTTAACAAGCAAAATGCAATTTAACACCCACAATAACAAACATTTTCCAAAAGTTCCGTTCTCAAACATAAACTTCAAAACAGAAATGGACTGCTGACATTTTTTGACAATAATCAACTTATTTTTGTCAGCACTTCAAGCTGTTTGAATGAACTCCGTAATCGGAATATTCAATTTAGAGATTCTAATGAATCACAGGCTAAAAGCCTTCAACCCCCTTCTCAGCCTCCCCCCCCCCTTCTCAGCCCCCCTTTACCAAGCGACATCCCTGCAACCCTTCATTAAACAATTCAGCGACGGCCAAGACGAGTAAATCAGTTTATAAATATCTTAAGACTCGGTGCTCCCTAATTGTTTATTTTTACAGTTGTGCTGTTAACAGTTTCTTTAATTTACAACTAAGGATTTAATTTCTTAAGCACTGTGCTTCTTCGTTGTTTTTAATTTATTTTGAACTTTTACAGATTTTTATACAATCGTCTGTCTCACTGAGGAGACCCAATAGTTTTTAGAGGACGGGGTTTATATTACAATAATATTTTCAATAGTAGTAAAATATTTGTTGATATTTATTGCACGTCTAACTTACAGTGAAAAGTGCATAAAATGTTTCATTTTAGTAGACGAAATTAGTT